GCGTGGTGGCTAAGTTGTCGCTTCCGCGAGTCTGCCAATCGGTTCGATAGATCGGAATCGATCGACGCGCAAGTGTAAAGTAATCCGTTTCAAGATGCACAAGGTTACACCGCGATGTTTGTGTTATCTCGCTACCTTGTAACATATATCTTTTTACGCTCATTAGCGTTCACGCATCCGGCGAGGTGACGCTCGTTCGCTACTCAGGAAGCGAAATGGACTATCGGGGGCCACCGATAACGAGGAAATATACCCTTAGGTGCAGAATGACGTAGATCCGCATCTTCAATATCGGAAGTTTCGCCCGTGAACGTGCAACGTGTCGTCGATTAATAAGTCAATCTACATGCCCTATGGCGATATTGAATTTCAACTTGTGCGCTGTCGCGGCTTCTTCTTACAAGCCCTTACATAATAGGAAGGAAAACGGCAACGCGATATAATCGCGAAGGAAATTCGTGGGCCGCTTGGGGTTTTGCTTACATTAACGAGATGTCAAAAGGAACGGCGTGCACACAACGGTAAAATGTCAATGGATTATTCATAGATGCACGAACTGCGGACAGAAAAAAGTGTAATGTAACGTTCATTACGGACACTACCGTTCCGCTGTGACAGGATGTAATGGTTAGGGATCTTCGTTAATGACAAGTACACCGAGCGCCGTTTTTTAATGAGGACGTTTACATTAGAGGTGGACAATAACGATGATTACGACGGTGCGGCATTGACGTTATAACCATCTTTATTAGCCATTTAATACTGCGCAAGCAGTTTTATGGCATTTGACATTTGTCCTATGATCACGCATTCCCGTTTTAACACACAGATGCCCGATGAAGAACGGATATTCTTTTTTCTACAGCGAATAGCCTTGCTCCAAATAGTACAAATAACGCTCTACTGATAATTATTCACTTTTGCCGCATTAATAGACAAAAGCTCACCTCGAAGATCGTATTTATTACATTCCCAGAAGGTTGGAACGACAAGTTTGCACGATGACAGCATAATTATCCGAGGAAATGGCGGAAATGAGGAGCAGCGCCGCCTTAAAAGATTGGCGACGCAATTAATGGGACATCGCGAGCTGAGCGTGCATTTTCATAATGTCCGACATATGCACCGTATCAAACTTAATGTCGTACCTTAATCACACGGACACCAAGGACATTCCGAGCAAAATTTCTCTGCGCGCGCGGTATTACTCTTTTCGACTACCAATGAGATGGGACGTTTTACTGTTGTTCTTTTCGAACGTTACGCAAATTCAGTTAATATTATCTTGATGTCTCTGAGAAAGTGTTAGCACCTTATTTTCGGAATTTCGACACTGACCCTTTTCTAAAAAATTCCAATTACGTTACCAATTACATTTGGAAACGTAAAAATAAGGACTTAAAGTGTAAATTTTATATTTTCCTCATATAAAATTTAAATCTAACATTTTTTTTTAATTAGAATTAATTTACATTCTAATACTTTTCGATATAATTTTTGGAGCACTATTCCGAATTCTCTAGAAAATATCAAATTTCAGAAAAAATTCACTTATGGAGATTTAGAACTTAAAAAAATTCAGATTTTTAAAGATACTAAAGTTTTTTTGTTCAGATTTTTACGAAAAATTATTCATGCAATGATTGATCAACCATTGGAACTTTTTATCATTTCAACCTATTAATCGCGAAAAATCTTGAAACGTATCAAGAATTGTATATGTATATTACACATTATAAATGCAAATGTAAATGTGAATGAAGGCGAATGTAGATGTAAATGTAGACATAAGCGTGAATGCTAACTTCGTAGAGATGTATATATCTCATTAGACTTTATCATAAACATAACATTATTCTTATTATTCAAAAGTAGAAAAAAAACTCATCAGAATTAATTTTTTTATAATATGGATAATTTTTTATGTCAAATGTATATAATACAACTCTCAAAATTCTCTCTGAGAAAACTGTTAACATTTCTTACTTTATTTCAATATAACACATGTGTATTGATATATCAAAGCAGGCAGTTCTTTTTTCAAAAAAGATTGCATTTGACACCTTCTAGGGTCAAACTTCACATACGGAGTTCAAAATCCGTTTCAGAGTATCATGTTACATGGGTATGACACAGGTGCGGCGCTTCGAGGCTGACCGGTATATTGAGTTCCACAAAAATTCCTAACGACGCCTCACCGTAAATGTCATTCTCCCTATCTCTTTTTCATCTTCTTATTCTGTCATTTACATATAGCCATTCAGAATCAGCGTTAAACTGTAGGTTGTGTATAATCCACGTGCGCAACACATGTATATGAAGAGAAGTCACCACGCTCAAGCACGAGTAATATAGGAGAACCCAGTTATCCGTCAGTTAGTAAAAAATTCTTTGTCAGACGTATGGATTGGCAAAGTTGTACTCACTTGCGGTTCAACAAGCAAATTTTGCTACTGTAGGATACACAGCAACCATCATAAATTCTGGAGATCAGATCAAATTCCGCAAAGCCTGATAGCTGACATGCACTGTCTTCCCATAAACGCGTAGTCTAGCGACACCACCGTTGGGGTAGAGGTTGAATCGCAAGTGAGTACAACTTGGCCAATCCGTACGTCTGACAAATAATTTTTTACTAACTGACGGATAACCAAGTTCTCCTATTACTCGTGCCCAAGCGTGGTGACTTCTCTTCATATACGCATGTGTTGTGCACGTGGATTATACATATTGTATATACACAACCTACAGTTTAACGCTGATTCTGAACGGCTATATTTTTTTAGAGAAATTCTCTTGGCAAGACATACTCTCGGTGGTTTGCCATTGCCTTCCGAGAGGAGAACGAACGAATATAATTTTTCTAGCTCTACCGGGAATCGAACCCGGGACCTTTGGCTCAATAGACTGGTGCGCTGTCTACTAGGCCACGCTCGTCCTCCTATCTTTCGCTCTCGCACGATGGGGGATTTTTGAGATATCGACTCGCGAAATATATCTGTCACTGTCATGACTTCGATAATTTCATCATAAAATCGCGCTTTGTTCGACACTTTTGTAAATATTCTTTTTACACGCTGGACATTTACAATTTTACACAAATATTTATATTACTCAATTTTGTATCTAGCTTTATTACGAAGACATCTATTCCACCGACATTTTTATTTGCTAAATTTATTTGTATAAAATTTTATTTCTCTGCAAGGGCTTGTTAAATATAGGTAACAGACGAGTTTACTATTCCAATTATAATGATGATGGGCATTATTACAGAGGAATGATGTGCATTTGACGCGGGTGCAATAAATCAATCACATATATCGGATCGTAATTTGCCTCTTGTTATCATACTCCTAATTTGGCACGATCGTTTATATAGCGAGCAATGACTTGGGATAAATTGGAATAATCTGTGTATAATTAAAGTCAATATCATTAAGCTGCGCAATGCAAATTCAATAGACAAGCACGTAAAAGAAAAAAAACGCTACAGATCATTAAGAAGATTTAATATCTTTCCCTGTGGCCTTTGAACTGCGTTCTTAATGTACCATTTCTAAAGACAAGGTAAGCATTTTTTCACGGGAATAATAATCGACGCTGTAAATAAAAATACATGTCTTACATTGATTTCTCTTCGCTGTGTATGACTTAGCGCCTTACTGGCCCCCAGCGCGGTTCAATTAAGTCTTCTTTATTCGCTCAAGAATGTACATTACGCAGAACCGCAAGTACGAAACACGGTGTTTCATTAGAGTTACCGTACCGGTCGGGACGAAACGCGCGAGTGCGCGTCTGAAAAACCGACGTCGGAGACGAAAAGGAACGCGCAAACTCGTTCAGTGCAAAACTCTTGCAGCGAGCGCAGTCCTTGGGCGGCGCCCGGTCGCGAAGGTAGGCCACACCGATGCAAAATGCACTTGATTTACGTGCGAAAATAGCCAATTAACTGGCGTAATCGGCACGCGTCCCGTCGCGTCGCGTCCTCTCGACGCGCAGTCGCGGAAATATCCAACTGCGCGTACGATCTATCGGGGTATAATGGGTGCTGCGTGCGAAAGTCCAGGCGCATTAACACGTAAAAAGGAAGCGAGAGAGGAACGACGATGACGGTGACGACGAATTTCTTCGCATCTCTCTGCGCGAAGGACGAGAACGGTGCAAAAACAACGGCGGCAGACTTGACGCGCGAAGCGACGGCGGCGCGCGGAATTCGAGAGCGCAACGAGCGTTATGCAACGATCAAACCGGAATGTCGAGGTGCTCCACGCCCCCGGGAGACGCCGAAAATTCTCGTCAATCTTCCTCTCGCAGGAAGGAAGAGTGGGAGCAGAAGATGTGCTTTCGCGATGCCTACCACTCTACTTTGATATCGCGCGCTTTAAACGACCGCTCGATAAAAAAATTTGGAACGACAGATTTTTGAATGAGGACCCCGCTCACAGTGAAATCATGCATTGTCTGACGATAAAGATATAAATGCGCGGAGGTGGCATTATTATACTCATCGCTTAATTAATCAATTAATAGTAAGCACGTATCGCATATATCGGCCGAGATTGTACAACTGCACAAAATGTGAAACTTGAAATCGACTAACACTAGCTTTAGTACCAAAGAAATTATAGAGATTTTAACATTGACATTCGAACGAGACAGTTTCCCAGTTCGGTCTGCTGATGCAACAGTAAAAATGATATAATCACTCGCACGTGTGAAAACGTCAAATCGGATAAGTACGATCCGGATAATAAACTGAGAAGGCAGGTATTTGCACAGAAAATGTAAAATTAAAATTGGTAACGTGCATGTAGCAATCCCGATTTGGTGCTAGAAATTACGTCACGTCGGCTTTTCTTTCGCGTTAAGATATATACACAGATATAAACAGATTTAATCGTGCAATAAAACAATCTCCATGGCTTGTTAAATTTTATCGTTGTCTAAAAGCCCCCGTTTAAATGCGCGTTTAATGCGTTCACCGATGCGGTGCCTCGCGTAGCTATATGTAGAGTAATGTTTTCTGGCGACAGATAAACGGCACGCGGTCGCAGGTGGAGGACATGCGGGCGAGAGAGTAGAACAGCAATCGGCATGGCATTATCGCTTATGCAATCGAAGCTTCACATCGATTTACGTTGGTTTCAGATCGAGACGACAGCGGCGGTGGCAACAACAGCGGTAGCTGCCGCCAACCCGCTTTCCTGGCACATCCCAAGGCCGTCCTTGGTCGGGCGCAGCGAGAGGGACAGCGAAAATGGTAGCTGGGCTCATCACTTGCATCCGAACTCCCCCTCGAGAGGGTCGACGTCGTCTCAAGGATCCACCGCCAGTACACACGTAAATTTCGCTTCTTTAAACACGACTACTCGTGCAGCAATATCGAAATTGGCCTGATTTTAAATTAAATTAAAATTAAAATTAAAACTCGCTTTACGATTAACTTAAAAGCCCTGGAATTAAAATTCCAATGTAAATCCGATGAAAAGCTGCTTTATTTCGTCAAGTCCCTCGTCCGATGGACGCCAATGATGAAATTCTACGAATAATTTTAAATTACGCACAAAAGTCGCACGATAAATTTGCCAGTCGGTCCTGATATCAAAATGATAAGTCCAGCTTTCTACTTTACGTGCTTGAAGAAGTTTTGCGGCGATTGCATCGTCGCACACTTCCAGCCGCCGAGAACACTTCAACGCTCACGAACACATTGAAACATAGATGCAAAAATGTTCATAAACAGACAAAAATGTTCATAAACATCTTGATGGTGTAAACAAAAATCGCAATTCGGTTAAGGTCCCAACTTGCCTTATTTTCGCGGAATCTCAAGTTTAATTTCTTTTCGCGACGCGACGCGATGCACATTGCAGACAGTAGCATCCGACGTCCGCTGGTCACGCTGGGGACAACGATCGGCAAATAATAAGTGTGGGAAGACTCTTCTCAAAAGTTCGAGACGAGTTTTCTCGGATTTTATAATCAAATTTTCCGGTGATTACATGGTTTGCAGAGCGCCGCGTCGGGAACGTTGCTACTCACGGCCGCGAATCTCGCGAATCTCGCCGCTATACATCCGCCCACGGTGACGGCGCCGAAGCAGATAGACACCGCCTCGGTGGCCAGCAGCACCCACTTCACGGTCGTGAACGGTCTCGGCAGACCGGCCACCGTCTACAGGAAGTCCTGGTGCGCGCGAAATCAGCTCACCGTTCTCGTGTGCACCATGAGTTTTCTGTTCATGGTCGGTCTGCTCGCCGGGATCCTTTACATGGAAAGTGAGTATCTGCCGCAGCGGCAGCGGCTATTGCCACATCCATTGCATTTCAACACCGCGTGCGATCTCCGCGGATTCACCATCCACGAACTTCCTCGCTGATGTTTACCTCTGATTGCAGTGAGGGCTCGCGACAAGTACAACTAGGCCGAGGGTGAGAGCGGGAGGAGGAGGAGGAAACGGCACGTGACCATGAACGATGATCATCGTGATAGAAACGGGCAATGAAGAAAATGACTACTGCGGAGAGAACGGAGCTGGGAAAAACGTTTCCATGAAGACGAGAAAGAGAGAGAGAGAGAGAGAGAGAGAGAGAGAAAGAGAGAGAGAGAAAGAGAGAGAAAGAGAAAACGCAAGATCCAGTCACGATATTAATTTGACTTACTCATATTTACACGTATATGTACATCTGCGTTGTAAGCCTGTTCAGACCACTCTCGGTCCGTAGACGTTCCCGGCGGTTAGAATTTTAAGTATATATATATGTATACATACTGTATTGCACCGCGACAAACGTGTGGTACGTGAAAATCAGTAATTACATTTGTGTAATGAGCAACGTACTGTTAAGGGGTTGACGAGATCCTCGCGATGGGATACTCTTGCGTATTTATGCTGGAATTTAACGAAATTCGTCGGATTGTCCCGCGAGATACGATCCGACGAATAACATAATATATTTTATGTTAATTAACTTCTTACCGCGTAGCGCGTGTCATGTAGAGCACAAGCAAACTTTCTCTAAAATTTCTTCACTGTTTTACGTGTGTGACTTATGACACCTCTCTGCACGCCGCATATTTTTTCGCATGGAAAGATACATGTGGTAAGGGGTTACGGACGATAGTGACACACGATAGTGATCCGCGATTGCTCCAAATAAAAAGCACAACTTTTCGCGTAGCGAATAAAAACGAAAAAACTTCTCCTATTTAGTTCTCAATCGATTTATCGTTCGTAAATCGCGTGTCGACATTATCGAGAGCCGATGTAGAGAAGAGGTATACGATAAAATATCACTCGAGTGTCACTAATCCTAGTCGTCCAACGCAAATCTCGAATCTAATAGTATTTTGAATAACGAGTACCGACGGACAGTTCGAAGCAATCGACGAGATGGGACCAAGATAGTGAATATCTATTTAGGGCCTGTAATTTAATTTTTACTAACAAGCTGCCTTAATCATATCTGGATTTCCGTCGGATTGTTATTCCGGGAGCAAATGTAAACGGAAAAGCAATGAAGGGCGGTCGCGTCGATCGCTTTTCGCGTCTGTGATATTACTTGCGTATTAATCGTCGATTCAACAAGAAACTGTCAAATATAGTAAACGTCGTTTCATTTCCACCTGTCTTTTGCAGCATATTGATATAATATTCACATAACAGCTGGAGAATGATATGATATCCTGAGGTAAGCATCCTAATCTATTAGATTTCTTATTTATTTGCCACAAATTCGATATTTATTTATTTTGATATATATTTTTAATACACTGAGAAAAAAAATATTTAGATCCATTTTATTTAGATTGCTGTGCCAATAGGATATTTACCTCGATATTTACTTAATATAATACACATATTTATTTAGAATTAAATATTTTTATTTAAATTAAGTAAAAATATCTAATTCTAAATAAATATGTGTATTATATTAAGTAAACAAATTATTGGCAGCAATCTAAATAAATATTTTCTTTGATCTAAATAACTTTTTCTTAGTGTATAAATATTCAATATTTTCAATTAAAAACTCAACTACTAAATAAATTAAAATAAAACTAAATGTTGTATGCTTAGGCATAAAAAATAATAGAAAATTAATATATTAAAAAATATTTCTTTAAATCTCTATTTTCCTTTAAAATTTTCTTTAAAAAGATGTTTTGGCGCCACATGTGTATTAAACGTATATAAAGTACGACATAAAGCACTTACCTCTACTTCTCCAAGAGTCTGCGTCCATCTGTAATTCGGCATGTCTGCACCGTTACCGCTGTTAGGCTTCAGCTTATTTTTCTCCTTTTCATCTTCTTCGTCCTCATCGTTGTCTTTCTTAGAATCGGTATTTTCGAACTCATCATTCTTAGCACTGTCGTTATCGCTGCTAGATCCCGCGACAGCAGAGTCATTTGCTAATTTCTGTATAACAAAAAATTATTTAATTGAGTATTATAATTTGTATAATTCAAAGAAAAATATAAAATGATTGGCCATGGAACCTAATGTATTAAATTCATAACTAAGTTCTAAATAGTATATTGTCAAAACATGTTATAAAACGCTTGCAACGCTGTTTTTGCAATCTACCTATGTGAATCTGGCATCCGACTTTGAAAAAATTAATTTTTCGATACGGAAAAAGTTAGTATTTTGTTTGTAGTAACAAAAATTTCATTTGTAGTTCAATACATTAAAAATTACAAAAAAATTTTTTAACTAACTCGCACCCGACATTGAGATATCTCAAATCCGCTTGAGACTGCACAAGTGGATTTCCGAGCGGATTTCAGATATCTCAAGAAATGGTAAAGTTATAGGTCTTGGCTATTTTATTTAAATTGTCACTTTTGAACGGAGAGAATGTTATTCTTGTGTGGGACCAATTTGAAAGTGTGCTTTCGAGTAGAATTCTGCAATGCAACCAAGCACTTTAACACACGAATTTTGATACACGGCTTTGTACTAATTTTAATGCTACAATTTTGCACTCTAATTACTGTAAATTTTATGTAACACTGAGAATCTCAATCAAGATCGAAACGTTTAGATTTCGATCTAGATAATAGATTACCATCTTAATAATAAGTATACTACTTTTATCTGATATCTGACAATTAAATTTTTATGTTTTGACAATATACTATTTAAAACTTAGTTATGAATTTAATACAGGCTCTGTGGCCCAACAACTTTATATTTTCCCTTGAATTTGATTCAGAGCAAGCCTCTTTATCATAGTTTAATTTTAATTAATTTTAATTAATTTGTACAATGTCTTCCATATCTTAACCCTTCGCAGAACATGTGTAATTTTGCTGCTTCCGTCAAACACGTGGGTCTAGGCCAGTTAAGATTTTCAAGCTGTAATAGTGCCATAAAAAGTCTGAAAAAATTCAAGTATACTTTCGAAGGCTTTAAGAATCTATTTATACCGTTATATATGTCTGATTTTTGTTTAAGTTTTTTTTATGAGTCCGTAAAGTCTCCGAAAAATTCAAAACTGAAATATCGACCGGGTCTTTAAAGGCCCATTTGTTCTGCGAAGGGTTAAAGAAATCATGAAATAACATAGAATAAAAATTATGACCGATATTCATAGTCGGATCTTATATATATGTAATATAGATCTTACATATCGCCTTAAGTTCATCTTTAGATACTCCATAGCCAATAAAACGAGTCGTACAGCATCTAAAGATAAACTTGAAACAATCTTAAATATAAGATCTGATTATGAATACCGGCCTATAACAACTATTTCACTATGTAGATACCTTGTTCTCTATTTCTTCCTGTAATTTAACAGCCTGCTCGTCAGTTAATTCAACTATTCTAGAATCGTTATCTATTTTCTCTTCCTCCACTTGTTCCTCTTTTCTTTTCTTCTCGAGTCTTTCCTTACGCCTTCTCTCTTGCTCTGCTCTTTCCGCTTTTTCGGATGCAGCTTTGGCAAGAGCACCGGCTTCGTGTTTCTTGAATTTGCCCATGACAAGCTGCACATAAAGGAACAAATCTAGTTAATTTAGAACTTTTTAGAATAATAATATAAGGAAATTACTCCACGTTACTTTTCATACACGCAATTACCTTTTCAGCTGCCCCTTCGCCACCTCCGGTATAAAAGTCTGTTTTTCTCGCCAGAAAACTGAAGAAGGTGTCCAGCAACTAAAATAAAAAGAGCAAAAAAATTGTATCTTCCGGACAGTTTCGTGAAATTGCAAATATTTTATCGCGCGAGTTAACCTCAACAACCGAGAAAACGTTACTTACGTCCTGCACACCGCCCTCGTGTTGCTGTGCCAATGCCAGCAACATTCCATCAAATTGGTCCTCGGTCTTCGTCATTGTTCCTCGATATTCGAGCGTGTCACAATTTACTTTGCGAAAAAAAGGCCGCGATAAATCGTTAAACGTAGTCAAACGTTCGCTAAGCGTAGCAACGGTAACGCAGCAAACGCAGCACGAACCACGCAGCTTTGTTGCTCGATTCCGACACCTGACTGACCTGACACCACGTCACAGTATCGACCGGATTGAAACGACGCGACCAACTGAGCGATACCGGTAACGTACTCTGACGACAGAGCAGCAGAAACAGTTTCGAGTCAGTTATCGATAGTCAATATATTTTTAAATGTAATTCGATCTTTTAAATTTTTATTTTAGAAAACAGAATAATTGCAACATTGCAAGAAGCAATTCTTGAATATTATCTTGAATAAAAAAGATAATTGCAAGAGATGATTCCTGAATATATCTTGAATAAAAAACGATAATTGCAAGAGGTAATTCTATAAAAATAACTGCATTTATCTTCGATATAATGTTCGTTACTAAATATTTTAAATGTTCTTATATTAATACATGCTTTCGTGTTCAGCATTCTTTTACAAGATTGTTTTCATTCAGAAAGATTTTATCATATTTATCGATTTTTACAGTATTATCGTATTATTGATTATTTTTTTGTATAATAAAATTTTACCGTAAACCCAGGTAGAACAAAAAGTCACAATGAAGTAAAAATGATGTTAAAATCATGGCAAAATGGACTAAAAATCGTCATTTTGCCTTCATTCCGGTTTTATTGTGACTTCCTGTTCCACTGGAAACTGGTGCGTGAATTTTATGGCACGCATTACGTTGTAAATATTACAAATATTCCCTGGGTTCCGTAAAGCGCATATGCACGCATTTTATATAGTAAACGTTACGTATGCTATAGATAAATGCGCCCATATGCGCTTTTACGGAACCCAGGGTTTGACATTCACGTTAATGGAATAATTATTACGTAATCTAGACGTAATAAAATTTGTATAAATTCCGTCATATTCTAAATTTCATATATTAAAAAAATTATTATTAAACATAATCAAATTAATCTCGTTGTACTCCACTTGATGCTCTAAAATTGAATTCTACCTTAATTAAATTATCTATATAATATTATACTATGCTTCCGTAGTCACCGTACATTTAACTAAACTACAATGCTTCCATTAAAAAAAAATCACTTTACCACACTGAGCGTCACGTCTACTTCGAAAATCATTTATAATAGATTATTATTATATACATTCCTATTTTCTTTTTTCTTCTGGCAATAAGTATTGATTAAATTTTTATAAATGTCGTTGTAATAAAGAATAAAGAATAAAATATCTCCCTCCCGGGAGATAAATAAGGGAGGGTCCTATTGTAATTGAATAAATATTTATTACAATATTTTTTAACTCACAAGCCCGTGACTTGTTACGGGATTTTTCGTGCCGATCACATTTCGCCGAAATCAGATAAAGGGCGCGCGGGTTGATTTTACTTAACATCGCCCGAGCGCTCGAGCGACGAGGGGTGGAAGGAGGGCGGCGGAGGGAGGACAGAGGGGCACGACGCGGCCTTTGCCGACAATTCTAGGCAATTCGGAGAAACGTGCAGCAAAACAACATGCGATGGAAAAACCCAAGAAATAGTCGAACGAAAACCAGCATGGGAAGACTCACCGGCCGGCAGCTGAACGCCATCAATCGATCCATCTTACGATTAATCCTCTACTCCGTTAATCCTTTTATTCCTCCGTTGTTTAACGCACACTTTTATGCACTTAATATATACTTTTATGCACTGACACCTTTACATAGACACTACTACAGGCATTTTCGCGTGGCGAACGAATCATATCTCGGCACACCTTGACCGTGGAAAAATCTCGAGAAAGCGCCGCACACCCGGTAATCGTGACGGCTGCGACCGGCCACCTGTCGCAATTAATCAACCAGAATGCTCCACGACGCTTCTGTCATTGCTCCTCAATGCTCTTGACGATGCTCCTCGATACTCCGAACACCGAACAGCACTCGCGACTCGCGACACTCTCATACTCTCATCGGACGAACGAGTGCGGTGAAATAGCCCTATTCACTCCAACGTTTTTTTCACCCCAATAATCCTCCAACCATGCACTTTCGAGTCCCACGTGTTTTTTATAATGTTAATAGCTTTGAAAAATTCCCCAAAAATTATTATAATATCTTTGTACCTTCGACTAAAAATCAATGTAAAGAACATTTGAAAATCATTTATTTAAATATTTTTTTATAACAATTATATGTTGACAAACACACGTTACGACTCGTTTTACTTAAAAAATCATAACTCACGAACAAATTGACGAAGCTTAATGAACCAAAACGCAAATTAAAGCTAAAAGTAGTGCAAATGAGAAAAAAAATATAAAATAATTATTAATTAAATAGGAATACTTAATTTCGTCGTCGCAAATTTGGTAATTTTTAAATGGTACAGAAGGACTTTAAGGACTTAAAGAATGCTAGAAAAAGAATTTCTGAATAAGAAAAGGCGAATTTGAAGTGTGACAGATATTTTTTATGTAAAAAAATTAATTTTTTTTATATAATCGTAGCTCCTCCCCACCTCTTCCACCTGCCTCTGAGCCATAATAGACCTCTGTGGAATGTTAAATTTTTTTTTTAACGACAAAAATATTTTAAATACGGTTAAATTATACACAAAAATACATTTTTATCGAAAAAAATGCTCATTTACCTTTCACACAACACTGACATAATCCTCCAACCATGCACTTTCGTGTCCCACCGAGATTTTGATTGTTCCCCGTTTCGAGAGTAAATGAGCTAGGACTTTGAAATTTTTACCTGAGGTTCCCTGCCACAATAACTTTTTTCCGGCGTGGAGGGGATTCTCCCACGATCGTTTGTTTTCCGGAACAAACGACTGTTAGAAATTCGTGGGACACGAAAGGCATGGTTGGAGCGAATAGGGATAGGTATAGGTACGCGAGACAAGCTTGCTGGAAAACGCGCGAACGCGGGACGCCGTGACGGATGTCGATCGCGAATGTCCGAGATACGCGCTGATCGCGGTCACGGGAACTGATTATCACGCCGCGACGATTATCCGTTGCCGAATCCGGCACTTCGGACACTTGTTCGTACGCGAAATTTGACCGGGACGGAGTAAAAAGACGGCGGAAACGATCGCTTCCAACTACTCAATTAAACGAAGCGCGATGTTGATTGGCCGACAGTTACCAAATTTCAGTCACGTGACTGTTTAATTTCGCGCATCCAGCGTGGGAAATTTTTTAACACCGCGATCGACGTCCCGTTATGACGTTAATTGACGGGAATATTATACCTAGAAATGGGCGCCTGATTTTTTTCGCGTAAATGGTCACCTGCAGGGGTGATTTTTATACCCCAATTAAAAGTTATTGTTTATTAACCCTAATTCCTCCAACGTTTTTTCCGCCACTTACTTCCTCCAACTATGCACTTTCGTGTCCTACGCGTTCTTCATTATGTTAATAGCTTTGAAAAATTCCCCAAAAATTATTATAATATCTTTATATCTTCGACTAAAAATCAATGTAAAGAAAATTTGGAAATTATTTATTTAAATATTTTTTACAACAATTATATGTTGAAAAACGCACGTTACGACTTGTTTTATTTAAAAAATCATAACTCACGAATAAATTGACGAAATTTAATGCTTTAGCACGCAAATTAAAGCTAAAAGTAGTGCAAATAAGAAAAAAATTTGAGATAATTGTTAATTAAATAGAAATTCTTAATTTCGTTGCCAGAAAATTGGTAATTTTTTAGTGGTACAGGAAGACTTTAAAGATGCCAGAAAAAGAATTTTTGAATACGAAAAGACGAATTTGGACTATTTGGAGTGTGCAAGATATTTTTTATGTCAAAAAATTATATTTACATCACACGTGCGTGGAAAGTGGCCCATTACGCACGCGACGCGTGCGTGATAGACCACTTTTCACGTACTTGCAACATAAAATAGGGTGTGTAACACGTGTGTTAAGTTGAAAATTGGACGTGCGGGTGATTCACTCCGCACGTCCAATTTCCATCTTACAGCACTTGTTACACAAATAACTATTACATCACACGTGCGTGGAAAGTGGCCTATTCCGCGCGCGCCATCTGTGCGACAAATAGCCAATTTCCCACGCGAGAAATTCCCCACTTGAGCCCGTGCAGGAATGAGATATTGCCGCACTACACTGAGAAAAAAAAATCGTAGATTCAAAAAAATATTATTTGATTCAACTAAATGCAGCGGTCACAGGCTGTCAAGCTAACATTTGTTAATTCAAAAAATATTATATTTAAATAGATTCAGAATTTCTTGATATTACTCACGTATATTTGATTTAAATATATTAATATTTGCATTAAACAAATCACTACAACTAAACGAGTTTAGTCAAATTTACAACATTTTTTTCTCAGTGTACGTATAGCCCAAATGAGTGTGATAGTCGCACTCATTCAGAATCGATCACTTTTCCCACTTTGTACAATATACTATTTTTTTTATAATCGCAAGCGCCTCCTCTGTAGAATAGTCCTCTGTAGAATATCAAATTTTGTTAACAACAAAAATATTTTAAATACACTTAAATTGTACACAAAAATACATTTTTATCGAAAGAAAATTCTCACTTACTTACGGCCGGGGCACGAACATTGCCATACAAATGTTTTTAGGGGTGAGGGCGATTATCCCACGATCGTTGGTTTCCCGGAACGAACGACCGTTAGAAACGCGTGGGACACAAAAGTGCATGGAGGGATTAGGGTTAATTACATATTGTATATTTTTTATTATTCTATAATTTATTAGTATTTGAAGACAATATGATATATAGATCCACCAAATATTTTCTGAAGAAAGTAAGAAGAAATAAAAAAAATATTCAAAAACAAAAGGTTTCTTAAAATTTTAATGTTTATTAATGTTTATTAAAATCAAGAGACACGTATCAAGAGACACGAGAGTGTCTCGCGCCAAGTGCGCGTGGAGCGAGACAAACCGTGACTCTTTCACCTTTCACGCGACGCGTCGAGTTACGAGTACCCGAGGTTTTGAGTCTCAATAAATGACTGAACGGATCGAGTTCAGTCTACTAATCTCAATCGATAGCTTGGGGTCGAATTAT